TAATGGTTTTATATCTTGGATCTCTGTTCTTATCCATTGGTCTATGTCTCTATATTTATGCTGGTATCATGCTGTTTGGGTTACTATGGCTTTCCAATTTGTTCCTTTTGCTTAAGGTTGCTTTGGTTATTTGGGCTATTTTGTGGTCCCACACAAAGCATAGAATTATTTTTTCTAGATCTGTGAAAAATGATGTTGGTATTTTAATGGGGATCACATTGAATCTGTAAATCACTTTGGGTAGTATGGACTACTAGACTGCTAGTCCATGAGCATGATATGTTTTTCTACCTCTGTGGTTAAATATATTCCTAGGTATTTTATTTTCTTTGTAGCTATTGTAAAAGGTATTTAGTCTTTGGTTTGATTCTCAGCTTGAATGTTGTTGGTATATACGAATGCTACCTATTTGTGTAAAATGATTTCGTAACCTGGGACTTTACTGAATGTATTTACCAATGCCAGGAGTCTCTTGGCAGAGTCTTTGGGGTTTTCTCCATATATGATCCTATCATCAGCAAAGAGTGATATTTGACCACATCTTTCTCCTTTTCGATACCCTTGGTTTTTTTCTCTTGCGTGATTGCATTGGCTAGAATTTCCAGCACTATGTTGAATAAAAGTAGGTTACAGTGGCAACCTTGTCTAGTTCCAATTCTAAGTGGAAATGCTTTCAACTTTTCCCATTCAATATGATGTTGGCTATGGGTTTGTCATATATGGTTTTTATAATTTTTAGATATATCCTATCTATACCTATTTTGTTAAGAGTTCTCATCATAAATGGGTGCCGGATTTTGCAAATGCTTTTTCTGTATCTATTAAGATGATTATATGTTCTTCCTTTTTGCTTTTGTCTAAATGGTGAACCACATTTATAGATTTACCTATGTTGAACCATCCCTGCATCCCTGGGATGAAGCCCACTTGGTTGTGTTGGATTATTTGATTGATGTGCTGTTGAATTTGTTTTGCCGGAATTATATTGAGAAATTTTGCATCTATATACATAACGGATATTGGTCTGTAGTTTTCTTTTTTTTGTTGTGTCCTTTCTTGGCCTTGGTATCAATGTGACACTGGCTTCATAAAATGAGTTAGGGAGGATTCCTTCCTTCTCAATATTATGAAATAATTTATGCAGTATGGGCACAAATTCTTCTTTGTAGCTCTGATAAAATTTGGCTGTGAAACAATCTGAGTGTAGACTTTCTTTTTTTTTTGGAAGATTCTTTATTGCTACTTCAAAATTCTTTTGTTGTATATTTCATTTAGTTCTGCTATGACTTCAGTTATTTCTTTTCTTCTACTGGGATTGGAATTGGTTTGTTCTTCCCTTTCTAATTCTTTGAGACAATTCATCTGATTATTGATTTGTGATTTTTCTGTATTTTTGATGTAGCCATTTAAGCCTATGAAGTTTCTTCTTAGGATTGCTTTTGCTGAATACCACAGATTTTGAAAACTTGAATCCCCTTTGTCATTTAGTTCAAGGAATCTTTTGATTTCCATCTTAATTTCCTCCTTGACCCAGTAATTTTTCAGTGGTAGGTTAATTTCCATGACTTTGTGTAGAGTTGAGTTTTTCTGTTGGAATTGATTCCTAATTTTATTCCATCATGGTATGGGAAGATACATGGTATAATTTCTATTTTTTTAATTTGTTGAGACATGTTTTGTGGCCTACAATGTGATCAATCTTAGAGAATCTTCCATGTGCTGATGAGAAGAATGTATATTCAATAGATTTGTAATAAAATGTTCTGTAAATGTCTGGTAGGCCCATTTGTTCTAGAGTCCTGTTTAAGTCTGCTGTTTTCTTTGTTTATTTTCTGCTTGGAGGATATGTCCAGTTCTGTCAGTGTGGTTTTGAAGTTCCTGCCTAATACAATGCTGCTGTTTATCACTTTGTTTAGCTCTACTAGTGTTTCCTTTATGAATCTGGGCATACCTGTGTTAGGTGCATAAATTTTTAGGATCATTATGTCTTCTCGTTGAATTGTCCCCTTTCTCATA